TAACTTAGTGTTCTGTGGGAATGAACGTGGTATATAGTCACATATTAACCCCTCACTTCTCTTCATCTTACAAACTTAGCAGTCTTTGGAGCACAGTAATAAAGACAATCATCTTAAATGTAGATTGTGTGGCAGATGAAGCTTCAAATTTGGAGGATTTTCCTGTATAGTTTATACCTGTATTGTAACCATGCATATCAGAATTCTTTAGACTGTGGTTGCCATAAACTTACTTGAATCATTTCATTTTTTCTTCCTTCATTTCAATTCATTACAGTTCAAACTAATTAAGTGTGTACACATATTGCCTGATATTGCAACATAGAGGGAGCATGGCTACCTGGAAGTGTAAGTGTCAGCCTTTAGATCTGGTTTGATAATACATTATGGGATTCCACTACTTCCTCCCGCCATGCCTCCTGAACCCCATGGCAATTACGTTTCTAACTCAATGCCTGTAAAAGCTATTTCAGAACATTGTTTATCCAGAAAAAGTTGCATTACATTTTCCTTTGGAAAAAATATATATCACAGAAACAGTCTGCAAAGAGAAAAACTGATGAGCTTTAGTCTGACTTCTATTTTGTCTTTTTAATAATATTTATAGTAGTGTTACTTTCTGTGGAATGACATGTTTACTAAAGTATTTAAGTGCTGAAACTAGAACATCAGCTTTTCATGTGGGAACATATAGTAGTATGCCTAGCTAACTCTAGCTGATTTTTATTCTGTGAAAATCAGGTGTATAGATGAATAAATACTACTTTTAAAACAATTATGTTGATAATACAACATTAATGCAGATATGGGAACCAAGAAACCTAGTAAATTACTTCTGAAATGTGTCTGTCTTTGGGTAAGTCTGTAACCCCTCTGTACCTCAGTTTCCCTATCAACAAACTGGAGATAATAGGACCTGCCTATAGATTTTCACTGGGTAGTAAATGGATTAATGGTATTTGGAACAGTAGCACTACAAAGCACTTTTAACTGTTAGCAGTTATTATTGTCATGCTTCTCATTATTATACTTATAAGATGATTATAATAATGGTTTAAGAATATACATTGACATTATTTAACTTTTTTCTTCTATTCAGATGACCTGTGTAGAAAAAGCAGGAACAGATGAGAAAATGCTTATGAAGGTCTTTCGCTGTTTGGGAAGTTGGTTTAACTTGGGAGTTTTGGACAGTAACTTCATGGCTAACAATAAGTTACTAGCACTTCTTTTTGAGGTTTTGGTAAGTAATGACTTTATCAAAGTATTTCTGCCACAGTCACTTTTCGTAACTGACCTGGGACATAATAACAGTGTTTTCAGATTACTGCACAGTGACTGGAAGGTGTATAGTAAGAAAACAGCAATGTCCCTTCCTTGCTGCCAAGTACCAAATTAAAAGTACCAGTTTTAATACTCAGAATAGAATGTAGTTATATTTAAGAAGAAAGCAATCTTATATGCACATAAATGATTTACATATTAAAATCCAATTAACAGCCATTAGTGTCTTTTTCCTTTTTCAAAAGTACAAAATTATGTGTTCCTAGTGATAGTCATTGAAGTTTGATGTTACCATTATGTAATTACATGTACATCAGAAATTTAGAAAATATAGAATAGGTAGAATTAGAAATTATCTTTATTGCATCCAGAGACAATTATAGATCAGAATATTATCTTTGTAGTTGAGACAGTTTAGTTAAATAGCAGTGTATGTACCAAATGGATTTGGGGTTTTTGACATTAGTGAAATAAGTGGTAATGTCTCTTTATATACTTGTGCATTTCTTTAAACTTTGAAAGTAGTAATGCCTAGTAATTCTTGGTAGATAGGAGTCAGTGAGTGCTTAGAATAAGACTAGATTTTTGAACAAGAAACATAGCATTGTCTCAAGCACAAATACTGAAGAGGTCTTTGGAGATGTGAATGACTTTGTCTCTTTCTTAGAGGGTTTCCTTTAATGAAGATGTATTAGTATGGAAGCTCTGTGTATACTGGATATATGATCGTGCACTGTTATTTAGAAGATGGTAGCATGATGCTAGATTGATACCACTGTGAATTAAAGAAGGAAAAGGAAAGCACCTTCTTCAGGGAGTCACTTGACATTTTAGTGTATTTCTGCTGTCGTTGTTGCATTAGAAGCTAAGCCTTAGGAAAGTTAGGGCGCTGACAATTGTTTCACTAGTCATTATCTTTGTCTCCATGTATGTTTGTACCCTACCTCAATAATGGTGATTATGATTCTCGTCTCACTAAATTGTGTGAACAGTCACT